GAAAGAGTGATTTATAAGAATCTGGGCTGGCTTGTTAGAAAATCTTGTCTGATGCTATGGGCAACTCTAGCTAGGTTCCCTAACCTAGGGGCAGAGAGCTAAGTCTCTGCTTTTACCTTGTATGACACAATTTCCTGGAGACATTTTCTCCCCAAATGCTCCTATATTTCATTGTGGCAGCAAGACATCCAGCTTCCAGATGGAAAAACAAGATGCCAGTCTCCTCTCATGTAGATAGCGCCACTCTCTAAAGTAGATCATTTGGATCCCTTCCAGGTGGGACTGCTTCTTTTGACTTGCTGGTGGGAGAGGAAGCATGTTAATATGGCATTCTAATCACGTGAATTCTCTTACTACCAAGATGCTCATTAAGAAATCTCTCTTTTTCTTACCAACTTGGAAATGGGTAATAGTAGTGACTATTAAAGATCAGGAGCTCAGTGTGGTGGCGCATGCCGCTTGGCCAACCATTTGGGAGGGCAAGGCCGGAGGATCACTTGAAGCTGGGAGTTCAAAACCAGCCTGGGCAACAAAGCAAGACAAGTCTCTACAAAATGAATAAATAAATAAACAAAAATTAGCCAGGCATGTTGGTGTGTGCCTGTAGTCCCAGCTACTTGGGAGGCTGACGTGGGATGATCTGTTGAGTTCAGAAGGCTGAGGCTGCAGTAAGCCGTGATGTGGCCACTGCACTCCAGCCGGGGTGACAAAGTGAGACCATGTCTCAAAAAACAAAAAATGAAGATCAGTTCGGTGACCTTTCATGAATGTACCTAACATCTCTCTTTTAAATACAGGTGTATTTGTTACCTGTCGTCCACAGATTTGAGGATGGTGCTGAAGTGTTCAGACAACAAAATCTCTTTCTGCATCCAATGACATGGGCAATGAGAGTCTGAAGAAGGGGAAGACATAAAGGGAACGCACTTAACTTTTTCTGTTTTACAATTTACCTCAGGCCCTGGTGGTCTTCCTGCAGGCCTCGGCAGGAAACTTAAATGATGAGTTTGGCTCTTCCTGGTGCTGTGGCTGCCTGAACTAATACAGGTAGTGCCCACAGGCCTGAAGGGTCGCCGCTGTGTTTTACAGCAGTGTCATATTCCCAGCCACATTGAGTCAGTCTCTTTCTTGCTTTGCATTAGGGAGCATTGCTTTGCTTTATATTTTTTCAGTTGCTATCCCATATTCTTTCAAGATGAGCTTAAATACATATTTCTGCACCTAAATTTGAGTATTATTTTCTTTCTATGTTACGTTCCTTAAAGTTTTATATATATATATATAAAGTTATGTTATGTTCCTTAAAGTTTTATATATATATATGTAACTTTCTATGTTATGTTTCTTAAAGTTATATATATATACACAAAGTTATATATATATATATATATATATACACAAAGTTATATATATATATATATATATATATACACAAAGTTATATATATTTGAGACAGAGTATCACTCTTGTTGCCCCAGGCTGGAGTGCAATGGTGCAATCTTGGCTCACTGCAACCTCTGCCTCCTGGGTTCAAGCGATTCTCCTACCTCAGCCTCCCGAGTAGCTGGGATTATAGGCACGCGCCACCATACTCAGCTAATTTTTGTATTATTAGAGATACAGGGCTTCACCATGTTTCCCAGGCTGGTCTCAAACTCCTGACTGCAGGTGATCCGCCGGCCTCGACCTCCCAAAGTGCTGGGATTACAGGCATGAGCCACCACACCCAGCCTAAAGTAATTTTTTAAGCCAATACATACCTGTATACTGCCTCCAGAATGGGCACTTCTCATATTCTTCTGATATGTGCACTCCATGCACATTGTGGTAAACATTTGAGGTATTGAAAGGGAAAGCTTTGGCTTGACTTAAAAAAAATTGTCTGTTTGATTTTTTGAACATTACAGCAGTAACTCATGCTCCTAATAACAACTAAAATAACATGGTACAAACATATATAAAAGATGAAGCTAATGATTTCTTCTATTTATGTGGTATAATTTGCATAATATGACATAGGATCTGACCGTATTATTTTTCCAGATGGACAGAGAGTCTACCTATAGCTACATATCTTCAATAACAGATGGCATTTATTTCTCTCATTTTTCATGCTGTTTGAAATATTTTAAAAGTTCAGGCCAGGCACGGTGGCTCATGCCTGTAATCCCAGCACTTTGGGAAAGTCCTGCAGAGGTGGGAGGATCGCTTGAGCTCAGGAGTTTGAGACCAGCCTGGGCAACACAGTAAGACCCTGTTTCTACAAAAAGCATTTTAAAAATTAGCTGGTCATGCTGGCGCACACCTGTAGTCTCAGCTACTTGAGAGGCTGAGGCAGGAGGATAGCTTGAGCTAAGGACTGTGAGATTGCAGTGAACCATGATTGCGCTATTGCATTCCAGCCTGGGCAACAAAGTGAGATCTTGTCTCAAAAAAAATTAATATAAATAAAAATAAAAATGCAGAAGCTATGTATTTCTAATTGAAATTGTAATGAGATAATCATAGATTAACATGCAGTTATAAGCAATAGTACAGAGAGCTGCCTTGTACCTTTTGCCCAATTTCCCCAATGGTAACATGATGGAAAACTACAGTACAGTATTAGATATTTCTCCAGGATACTGACATTGTACGATCCACCCATTTTGTGCAGGCTTTCCCAGTTTTCTTTACTTGTATTGATTTGTGTGTGTATGTGTGTATGTGTGCATGTGCGTGTGTGTGTGTATTTAGCTCTGTATAATATTATTCCACGTGTATCCACCATCATAGTCAAGATACTAAGGTTTCATCACCCCAGTGATTTTTCATGCTGCTCTTTTATGACACTGACCTCCTACACCTGTCCTTAACCCCTGTCTGCCACTAAACTGTTCTTTATTTCTAAAATTTTTTCATTTCAGAAATGTCATATAAATGGACTTATATAGTATGTATCCTTTTGAGATTGACTTTTTTCCCTCAGCATAATTCCCTGGCGACTCACCCAAACTGTTGTATCTATCAATAGTTTGTTCATTTTTATTGCTGAGTATTATTCCATAGTGTGGATATACCACAACTTTAAAAATTTTTTAATTGAGAAACAAAATGTATATATTTTTTATGTAGAAGATGATGCTTTGAAATGTCTATGCATTGTGTAATGACTAAATTGAGCTACTTAACATATGTTAAGTACTTAACATATGATCTCACATACACATTTTTTGGGGGCAAGAACACTTAAAATCTCAGCAATTTTCAAGTATACAATATATATTGCTATTAACTGTAGTCACCATGTTGTACAGTAGGTCTCTTGAAAACTTATCCCTCCTGGCTAACTGAACTTCTGTATACTTTGGCCAACATCCCCCCAATTTCCTCTACCCCTTTTTCTTTCTTTCTTTTTTTTTGAGATGAAGTCTTGCTCTGTCACCCAGGCGGGAGTGCAGTGCCATGACCTTGGCTCACTGCAACCTCCACCTCCCGGGTTCAAGCAATTCTCCTGCCTCAGCCACCTGAGTAGCTGGGATTAGAGGCACGCACCACCACACCCGGCTAATTTTGTATTTTTAGTACAGAGTTTTAATTTTGTATTTTTAGTACAGAGTTTTTCCATGTTAGTCAGGCTGGTCTTGAACCCCTGACTTCATGATCTGCCCGCCTCAGCCTCCCAAAGTGCTGGGATTACAGACTCGAGCCACTGTGCCTGGACTCCCCAACCCCTTTAGCCCTGGAAACCACCATTCTACTCTCTACTTCAATTAGTTCGACTTTGTAAGATTCCACATGTAAGTGAGATCCTGTGGTATTTGTCTTTCTGTATCTGGCTCATTTCACTTAACCTAATGTCCTTCAGATTCGTCTATATTGTTGCAAATGACAGGATTTCCTACTTTTTGATGGATGAACAGTATTCTACTCTATGTGCATGCCACATTTTCTTTATCCATTCATCTACCAATAAACACTTAGGTTGATCTTGGCTATTACGAATAATGCTACAGTGAACATAAATCACAATCTGTTTAGTCAACCACCTGCTGAAAGACATGTGGGCTGCTCCAGTTTTGGGGCCAATAGGAATAAAAATGCTATAAATATTTATGTATAGGTTTTTGTGTGAATTTCTCTGGGATAGATGCCCAAGAGTGCAATGGCTGGGTTGTGTAGTAATTGCTTGCTCAGTTCTATAAGAAACTACCGAGCTGTTATCCAGAGTGGTTGTACCATTTTACATTCCCACCAGCAAAATATGAGTGGTCCAATTTCTCCATATCCTTGCCAGCATCTGGTGTTTTCACTATTTTACTATAATCCAATACTACTTTATTTTGTTGCTCAAATTGTTCCAGCTCTGATTAAATTTTATTTTAACAATCCTGACCTGTGTGTAGTAAACTCCCACTGTGGTTTTAGCTTGCATTTCCCAATGGCTAATGATATTGAACACCTTTTCATGTGCTTATTTACTATGTATATATATTCACAAGTATTTGAACACTTTTCCTTTCAAAGGTGGCATCTAATTGCCCTCTCCTTGAACGTAAAGTGGATTTAGTGACTGGATTACTCTCTTGTGGATAACCAGCTCTGAGTCCTGCTGGCGACCATATCATGAGGACACTGAAGCAGCCCTAGGCCCACCTGCAGAGGAACTGAGGTTTCCTGCCAAACGCTAAACATCTTGACAGCCGTATGAATGATCCACCATGGAAGCAGATCCTCCAGTTCCTGTTTAGCCTTCAAGTAACTGCAGCCTGGGCCCACATCATGAGTTCATCTCTGTGAGAAACTTCAAGACAGACTTTACTAGCTAAGCCACTCTTGATCCACAAAAACAGAGATAACAAATGCAAACTGTTATTTTCAGTCACTAAATTTTGAGATAATTTGTTATGCAGTGACAGATAACTAATTACATTCCTATGTTATATACGTATACACTTTATATATTTCATATATATATGTATATATAAAGTTTTTTTCAAGTTAATTTGTTATGGCTGGATGCAGTGGCTCACATCTGTAATCCTAGCACTTTAAGAGTCTGAGATGAATGGATCACCTTGGGTCAGGAGTTCCAGACCAGCCTGACCAACATGGCAAAACCCCATCTCTACTAAAAATACAAAAAATCAGCCAGACATGGTGGGGTATGCCTGTAGTCCCAGCTACTCGGGAAGCTCAGGCAGGAGAATCACTTGACCCTCGCAGAGGTTGCAGTGAGCCAAGATCACACCACTCTACTCCAGCCTGGGCAACTGAGTGAGACTCCGTTTCAAGAAAAAAAGATTAATCATTTGTTATTTAAATCTTTTTCTTAACTGATGGTATGTCTGTGATATAGTCTCTGAGTCCTTGTATATTTACAAATATCATTCACACAGAAAGGCAAATCACTTGCTTTGATATAGAATTCTTGGATTGTAGTCTTTTTCTCTCAGTAGTTTGTAGAGTATGCCTCATTTTCTTTTAGCCTCAAAAGTCAGAGATAAATTACATGTCTGATTTTTTTCTTTTCAGTTTAATCATTTTTTTCACCACTTGGAACTTGTTAAATATCCTTTCATCTTAAAGTTCAAGAATGTTACCAGCATACGCTTAGATACGTTTCTCGTTAATTTTGCCTGGAACTTAGTGAGCCTTTCAAATTTGTAGACTCAGGTCTTTCTTCAACACAAAAATATTGTCTTCTACTATTATCTCTGCTCCATCTGCTTTTTTTTCTCTTTCTAGAATCTATCCTCTAGGGTCTATCCTCCAAATTTCTTATCTTTGGGGTGTGTGTGCGTGTTTGTGTGTGTGTGTGTGTGATAATTTCTATCCCTCTGTAGTTTTGCTCTGTCAATTGACATATTTCTTCCATTGGATTTTCTAGGCTTCTAATTTTATTCTCAACACTGGCCTTTATTATATTATTACACTTACAGTATGAAAAGTTATGGTTTTATTTATCTCCAGAGCATTTCTTTTGTGTTGCTCTTAGACCTTCTTGGTGTTCTTATTAATTTGTTCTTGCTGCACAAGTTATCATCTGTCTCTTTCAGCAAGTCTGTTTCATAAGGGACTTACTCTGTTCAATTTGCTCCTTCTCTTTCTGGTTTTGGGTACCTTGGAAGTAGCATCATGTCACTGGTCCTGAGAGGGTGGAAGGACAGCAGTCTCTGAATGTGTCATGTTGTATAATAGCAGATAGTTTTTTCAGGGAGAAAAGAAGTTCCCTGATCTCATGTTCTCCTGGCCTCAATTTGGTTCTTCCCCAGCAGCTGCAGTCAGGGAGAATACGTATACTTACTTAGAGCAGAAATCAACTTCTTGGCAGGCCAACCATCATGGCACCCCCAGAGGGTCCAGCTGCCAGCAACCACCATTTTTAGATCTTCATGTCAAGACTATCCCGCTTTGATCCCCAGTTCCCGCCCTGCCCACTGTGAAGACACCATTATGTTAGGTTTATGAGTCTCCCCTTCCAGGTCCCTTCTGCCTACTGATTGGCCCCAGCAGATGGAATCAAGATGGAGTTGGAAGGAGAGAGAATGTGAGAGTCAGTAAGCTGCCATCTTTTCCTTACATAAATTTGAAATTAATTGTTTTTCATATTCATCCAGATCATTTTTCATGCTAAATGGATAGTGTGCAAATTAAGTCTTTGTGAGTGTATTAGTTTGTTTTCATACTGCTATAAAGAACCGCCTGCATTTGGGTAATTTACAAAGGTAAGAGATTTAATTGACTACGGTTCAGCATAGCTGGTGAGGCCTCAGGAAACTTGCAATCATGGCAGAAGGTGAATGGGAAGCAAGGTATCTTCTCCACAAGACAGCAGGAAAGAGGAGTGCTGAGTGAAAGGGGAAGAGCCCTTTATAAAACCATCAGATCTCGTGAGAATTCACTATCATGAGAACAGCATGGGGGAAATTGCCCCCATGCTTCAATTACCTCTTGGTCTCTCCCTTGACATATGAGGATTATAATTCAAAGATGAGATTTGGGTGGGGACACAGAGGCTAACCATATCAATGAGTCATCTAAATATAAAAGCAAACTTGGAACTATAATTTCAAGGAACATTTTATAAATTCCTTACAGAGTTCAAACCAACCAAGTGATTTTTGTTCAAACTCTCCAATGTGAATGTTTGTATGTAGACATCAAGCATGAGAAATGTCAAACCTGGCACAAAAACCCAACAAATGGCAGAATCTATGGTTTTACAGTGGAATGGTCATTTGATCTCTGTGCAGACCTCAGCCTATTTCTTCATCTTTTTTTTTTTATCCTCTGGAAAGCTATAATTTGAATTTAAGAGCAGTACTTAGAAGCAAAACGCTAATCAAAATCAGAAAAACATGTATTAAATCCTCTCATGAGTGAAGCACTGTGTAAAGCAGAACTCAGCATCCACATTTGAAGACATGAAGCACTTTTTCCAACCCCAGCATTAGCCCTGCATGGATCCCAAATTTCTTCTTGCACATTTCAGGGACTCTCCCAGATTGATTCTCTTCCTAGCTATGGCCAGTCCAGTTTTTCTTCCGGAAATCCATTTTTCCATGGTTTGCTTTAGGTTGCTTCTGCTATTTTGAAGCAGGCTCACAAATCTGTGCACTTAAAGGGCTTTTACTTCTCTGTATTATTGAGAAATAGAAGATTTGAAATTAACATTAGAAAAGTTACAGAATCACCAGAAGTTATCTTTATTTTTATTTTTCGAGACACAGTCTTGCCCTGTAACTCAGGCTAGAGTACAGCATCATGATCTCAGCTCACCGCAACTCTTCCTTCCAGGTTCAAGCTATTCTCCTGCCTCCACCTCCTGAGCAGCTGGGACTACAGGTGTGCATCACCACATCCCGCTAAGGGGTTTCACCATTTTGGCCAGGCTGGTTTTGAACTCCTGACCTTGTGATCTGCCCACCTTGGCCTCCCAAAGTGCTTCAATTACAGGTGTGAGCCACTGCACCTGGCCAAAAGTTATCTTAAATACCTATCCCTAGGCCACAAATAAATTTGAAGCTAAGAAGCCTCATTGCATCCCTTTCTTTGGTCACTTTCATTGGGAGTTGTAAGAGTGAGCTTCAGGAGACCTCCTTTTTCTGTCACTCTTATTCTTTGGCTGTAGCTCAAGAAGATCAAAGGGAGCTTTCTCCTCCCACCACACTCAGCCCACCTTTTCTATCAGTCTCAGATATTGTGGTCATCTTATTTGGCTTTGGTTATGCCTTTATAATTCATCAAAATACATATGTTCATCACATACATATTACTTGTATCTGAGGATTTCAGTAAAACTCTTAGGTTATTTGATGTGGATCATCTATATCCCCAGAGAGTTCTCTGTCTATAACCTTCAGGCAGGATATAGTCATTTTTAATTATTCCTTAACACAGACTGAAGGAATCATGAAGAAATTTGTCCTTAATGTTCAGTAACAATCAGGCCCATGTGTAATTCATGTAAGTCTAATTTAAGTTTGAGAGGAGGCTCAAAGAAAATTCAAATTTGCCAGGTGCGATGGCTCATGCCTGTAATCTCAGCACTTTGGGAAGCCAAGAGGCGGCAGATCACTTGAGCCCACGGGTTTAAGACCAGCCCAGGCAATATGGTGAAACTCCTTCTCTACAAAAAAATACAAAAATTGGCCAGGCGTGGTGGCACATGCGTGTGGTCCCAGCTACTCAGGAGGCTGAGGTGGAAGGATTGGTTGAGCAGGAGCAGGGGTCATGGCTGCAGTGAGCTGCATTTGTGAACCTGCACTCCAGCGTGGGTGACAGTGCAAGACTACATCTCAAAAAAACTAAATTATTATTAAGGGTCTAGAAAATAAAACTATGTGAGGAAAGGGAAAGGCAGCAGAGTTTATTAACCTTGGTACTTTTAACATTTGGGGATTATTCTTTGTTGCGTGTGTGTGAGATACACTGTCTTGTATATTGCAGAGCGGTTAGCACCATGTTTGGCCTCTACCCATAATATGCCAGTGGCATTCCCCCTCCAGCTGTGACAACTAAAAATGTCTACAGAAATTGTCAACTATTCCTTGGTGGTAAAATTGCCCTCAGTTCAGAACGGCTAGGTCAAAGGGGTTAAGATATTCATCATAAATAAGAGCTTTTTTTTTCTTACATTGTCGAAATATATGAAGTGCTCTCACACTGATGACAGTCATTAGCAGCTTTCTATGTTCACTGATAACAGAAAAAATTCAGTTCAAAGGATTTGGATAAAATATACTTGATAAATTTCTTGTTTGGCTTGTTAAGCACTGAAATGGATTGCTATGAAAAGAATAGAGTTCCTTTCTCCGCTGGTCTTTAAAGTGAGATAAATCTCTCATTTCTAGCATAATTCTGCTGCAATCATTCCCTAGAGAAGATGTGCTAGAAGACCTCTAAGCTCCTTTTAGCATATATTCTATTGCCTGGCAAACTGCAGGAGCTGTCTGGGCTTCATGTGCATTACTGAACACCAGAGCAACCCTGTTGATCAAATGGGACTTTTCCAAAAAGATAAGATGAAACAGGAATGTTTCTTATTGTTTTGACAGTATTGGAAAAAGTACAGGAATCCATAAAGTTGTCCCTCAGTGTTTTCTTTCGAAGATACTTCTCAAGGGGCAAGATGTTTGATTAGTTCTATCTTACATTTGATATGATGTTACTCTGAATAATTTATTCACTCTAAGTGGTAAGAAGTATTTGCGCTTTTAAAGCACCACAGGATGAGAATATGGGGTCTGTGTGAAAATAGAGATTGACTTCCTAGAAAATAAGAAATTTGAAGGAGAAAAAAATTGCTTGATGACATTTTTAACTTATTTATATTACTATTTCACTCCAGAAAGAACTTAAGGCTGAATTCTTGATAATGAACAAAGTTTTAAGCTCTCAAATCTACAGTAATGTTACTTGGCAATGTGTGAGATAGAATTCTTGAACTAGATTTTGAAGCCTGTAATCAGACCAGTGCTTCAAATTTTGGAAATACAGAGTAGAACAATGATGCGTTGTATTTCTTTACGATATGGTAATAACTTATCATGTAAATACATAGGACAGTCAGATGTTTCACTTGATTTTAAAAAATGATTTTAATTCTTAATTGTATAATTTTACATT